GCAGGCGAGGTCACAGAGGTAATGGCGTCGGGGAAACGTGGATTTCAGAGTCTTTAAAATGCTCAGTTCTTTTTTCAAAAATTTTAAGAGATTTTAATTTTGTTTTATTTAATCCAGTGTCTTCCATAGGTTATTTCAACATGGAATCTGATGTGTATGCCACTTTGAAGAATGGTTGAGAGTGATTCTCAGCATTAACCTTGAGCGTGCACATGCACACAGACACATATGTCATATATATGCCTACACACATGAAAAATAGAAAAAGATAAAAAAAATTCCTAGCCAACTTCCAGGAGTTTACAATCCATAGCTCTGAGAGAAACAGAGAGCAGTAGGATTGATTTTTAGCTTGGAGCCTATTTTGCTCTATCAGCAACCTAGAACATGTTGCCTGAGGCGCAGAGGTACACATGAAAGCATAGGACAGCATCCCGTTTTAATGTGATAACAGTGCAAATGAACGAAATGCAAGCTTATAGTCTACCAGTATCCTTCCATTCAGCAATCCTTCACTACAGAAATGATTATAAAACCTATAGGAACCCAACTGATAAAAATAGCCATATGAATGGGCAAAATCTAAGGAAAGGATATTCCTTGCACCATTGTATGTAATAGCAAAACAAGGAAATGACTTATTCTAGTATTAATTTTCTATTTGTACAGAAGAAAGAATCATGCATATACTATGAAATATTATGTAGTCTTTAAAACAAATAGGGCAGATCTGTAGATATAATTGGGCATAAAGACTAAAAATGCTTTTTATGCAGGAAAATCAAGTTATAGAATAATATGCATAACATGATCAGTTTTCCATTAAAAATCATTGTGTGTCTCTTGAGAGGATTTTGTTTCTAGGTTTTGCTTGTTCATTTGTTTGTTTGAGATAGGGTCTCAGACTCTTGCCCAGGTTATCCTTGAACTCACAGAAATCTCCCTACCCTCAGATTCCCGTGTAGTGGATTACAAGCATGAGCTGCCACACACAGGTTCATTGTGTGTTTCTGTGTGTAATTGTATAGAAAAAGCTCTGTGGTACATACCAACAGCCTGTTGCTTGTGGGCATGAGGATGAAATTGAACTAGACAATGAACTGAGGACGGAGGGCTAGAGATGGGATTTTCTTTTGTACACTTCTGTTTTTGTTTAAATCCCTTTGCATTCTAAATGAATTGCTTTTATTTTTTTTTAAGTTAAAAATGAGGGAGTAATCTGATACCACGCATTTCTGAACGTTCCCAGGAAAGAACTCTGAAGGCAGTAGCGTATTTGTTGCAACATAATCAGTGTGTCACTGTCCATGTGATGGGAACAGCGTCTAATGTGCGCTGTGTGGTCTTTGGGAAAAATACAAAGTTTTTGGGCTTCAGTTTTCTGAAAATGGAGATAATACCTGCCCTACTTATTTTATCTCTAGTCATGGGAAGAAAATGAAAAAGCAGTTTAAAAATTATAAAGCCCTCCAAAAATGTGAAGACTAATATTTCATGTGCCATTTAATGGCCCACTTCTTTTGAGCAGTGGTCAAGCAACATAAAACTTCAGTTTCAAAGGGAGAATTTGCATGATTTCTTGGAGTTTAATGGAACCCCTAGGTTTTATATGAACACAGTATAGACATTCTCCTTAAATGTTCCAGAGTGTTTTGTGGGAAATATCCCGTTACAAATAGGTGTTGGCAAAACTCTCAAATTGTTTACTCCACTAATCATAGAGCCAACTAGTTCAGCCATGTTGCGTTAGTCAACGTGCTTTTCCATGTTCAGGGTCTAGCATTTTTACGTGGGTGGGTGGCTAGATATCCAGGCTTGTCTGGATCTGTTTCATTTTACCCTGTCCATCTCATTTAATTACCAATAATGCTCTTTTCTTTTTTTCTTTTTTCCTTTTTTTGGTTTTTTAAGACAGGGTTTCTCTGTGGCTTTGGAGCCTGCCCTGGAACTAGCTCTTGTAGACCAGGCTGGCCTCAAACTCACAAAGATTCTCCTGCCTCTGCCTCCCGAATGCTGGGATTAAAGGCATGTGCCAACTGCCCGGCTCAGTAATACTCTTTCATTCCCCCAAAGTTTTCTAGTTATAAAGATCAATGTCTTAGGGTTTCTATTGCGGTGATAACACAAGACAACCAAAAACAACTTGAGGAAAGTGGTCTTTGGTTTACATATCCCAGGGCACAGTCCATTGGAGGAAGCCAAAGCGGTACGTCAAGGCAGGACCTGAAGCAAAAACCATGGAGAGATGCTGCTTAGTGTCCCTTGTCTTGCTCAGTTTGCTTTCTTATACAACCCAGGACTACAGTGGTCTGCACACACCCCACATAAATCATTTAATCAAGAAAGCATCATATAGACTTGCCTACAGGCCTGTTATTGAGGCATTTTCTCAGCTGAGATTCCTTTGCCAGATATGTCTAGATTTTTTTGTCAAGTTTATAAAAATAAAACAGGCAATTGGTTATATTGAAACTCTGCTACGGTCACATATGGAATGTTGGAGGAAACATAGAAATCCCCTGGTTGAAAAGCACTGTACCCAAAAAGGAGACTAGGTCATGAATTTGAGAGGGAGTGGAAGGGAGAAAGGGAGGAATTCTCGTGGGGAGGGAGTAAAGGGAGTGGAACTGATGGAAATGCAGTACTCATACAGTGAAATTTTCAACAAAGCAAAAGAAAACAGAAAATGGCTCAGGCTAAACAAGCTCTTTCTTTACTCACCTCCATAGAAATGCCAATGTTTTCTAAATGCGAACGCTGGCTCTTTTGGAGATTTGATGGCCTTAGAATCCAAAGCTTAACCAGGGCTTAGAAGAACTGGTGAGGGCCTCCAAAGGGCCAGCCTACGAGCTGTCCGCTAGTTCAGAACTTTCCCTACACTTTGTCTCCAAGTCGCATTGATTAATTCTCCTGATCAGAAATGTATTTAGAGGACAGAAGCAATTGATCATCAAACAATGAAAAAGGATTGCAAATTGTTCATCGGTTCCCTCCTGCCCTGAAGGTGGGATCTTCTTTTACAGAAGGGGCTGCTTCCTGGAGGAATACAGATAGAAAGGAGGAAGAACTTTGGAGTATTAAGTATCTGCGGAGTGAATTCTCCCATAATGACAACCTCAGGGGACTGTGAAGGTGGGCTCAGAAGGGAAAGGAGGTATCAAGGACACACGATACTGATTTGCAGAAAAATGTCTCGTGCACAATTCCTACCTTGAAGAAGAAAACCTGGTTTTCTCTGCCATCTGCTATTTCTTCTCTTTCTCCCCATTCTCTATTGCTCAGTACCCCAAATTAAGCTGGTTCTCAAGGAAGGTCTGCATAGGTCTGGGAATATGACTCATCATATTGCTGCTGCAAGAATATGGATTATTGGGTCCATTTTGGGACCCACTCTTAAGTGATGACCTTCCCACATAAGGCTTAATCTTTCTCCCCGAAGGAGCTCACTGTCCTCAAAGGGCACACTGTCACTGGATTTAGGTGAGACTCAGTTAATGAAAAGGAAACTCCAGGGAACATTTGAGTACCAACTTCCAATATTGATCACCTCCAAACAAAATGTAAATTGATAAGCAAGGGCACCCAGAGGAGGGTTGACATGTATATTTATTTACAAAGTCTAAGCATGTGCTTAGGCAGCAAAATGAGGGAAAGGAAAACTCTAAGGAATGGAAGTCCTTAAGGTTTGGCATCAGACATAGGTGTGGATAGGGAAAGGTTTAGAAGGAGGAGTCTGTTCTGATGAACATGAAATGGTTTTCTGAAGAGGGAGGAATTCACTTGGCTGAAGAAAGATAGAGGTAAAATCGGTTTTTTTTTTCCTAAATTAAAGTTCATAAAGCATGTCGTTTGAAACGGGCGTTTTTCATCTGACTAAACACTGAGCAATAAATCTCTACGGCATTTCCTGTGGCTAAAGTTGAGATGTAATGAGGATCAGATCATAAGTAGCTGGGAATCCAGATGCAGGACTCTAGGCATGCTGGCAGTCCATGGAGAGTGTTACTGAAAATGCCTTACTAGAGTTGGGGCCTTAGCCCAAGACTGGGATACAGGATGAAGAAGTCCAGAAGAGCCTTCACAAGGCAGGTGCTGAGAGTCACTATAGAGCTGGAAGCAGGACGAGGGGATGCCCTTAGGTTTCTCAGAGTATCTTAAAAAATGCTCACCTTCTCCCATGCCCACCTAGTGAACCCCTAATTTCCAAACAAACCCCGTAGCATCTAAAAAGTAACTTAATTCTGCAAAAACGCAGACTCAACTAATGGAAGACTTGGAGCATCTATTAACTCCCCTGATTTTGCACATTAAGTTAGTGAGTATTGCATCGTTTCTAACTTGGAAGACATAAGAATGGAATTTTACTTCCATTTTTGATAGATGATGAGCCTTAAAAAAAAGCAATGTGTTTAGAATTTGTTCCCATAGGAATGAACACGTTTTTACTTCACAGTCTCTGGGCCCTTTCTTTGAACCCCAAATCCCCAGGGAAGCCTATATCACCGATTGACTAACCTAGTTTATGAAAGGTGCTTAGTGGGTTAATGCTCTAAGACTTTCGTGGAACTATGTGAAATTAATTAGCCTTGTCAAATTTTATTTGCTTAACTTCTCTCCAACTATATCTTCATGGACCTACTTGAAATTAATTAACCTTGTCAAATTTTATTTGCATACGTTCTCTTACAACTGTATCTTCTCTCCTCCAAGTACAAGTTTTTAATAAGCTTGATTTTAAACAATGTGAGCTAAGAGAATCTGTACAAAGAGCTGGAAGAATTTAAATCCATGAGTTTATTATTAACACAGTAGCAAATATATCAAGGGAACACACCCGGGGAAAAGTGTTTCAAATAAACACAGATCTGCTGGGAGAGAGGTCTGTACCCAATAAGCAAGCTGGAAGAGGCCTATTTGCTTGGTGATGCCCAGCAGATAAGCCGGGCAAACCTCGGTGTGATTGAAGAAGCCAGTTTCATACTAGCCTAGTTCAGGCAAACTCCTGACGGGCACCTGCTGCTCCAAGCAATTCTCAGGATGATGGTGTTCGCGTTTTGGAAGGTCTTTCTGATATTAAACTGCCTTGCAGGTAAGGAATGGATCTTCCAATTATCGCTAGCAACCGGAAGTCGAATTGCTCTTTAGACTAAAATTGCAAATTTTTACAGAAATCTTCCTCTCCCAGACGTCCAAGAGACTGTGATTAGTGTGCTGTTCTTTCTCTTTTCAGAACTTTTGTTTAGCAAATATGTTCCTCCGTGTTGATGATTGGGAGGTCAGTCTGCAGTAAAATTGGCTTACACCGCTTCTGAAATATGTTTTCCAGTTGGTTTTCCTAATTTTTTTTTATTTAGTTTGAAAGGTGAACAAGGGAATTTACTCAGAAAGCAAAGTTTGTGCTTAAAGATAAGATTTCTGCGTTAGCTCACTGTTTCCCCAGAGTTCACCATGATTCACTCACTTTGCCACAACAAGCGGAGCCAGGGCTCAAGACTGTGTGAGCGAGCATATTTGTCTCGGTGACGAGAGAGACTCATAGAGCGCTCGGTTAGCAAAGATTTCCTCCAAAGTCTGGTTTTCAAGTTGTAGGAATGCATTGCAGAAATTACAGTATGGTTGGTTTTAGGGATTTGAGCAGAACAAAATCATTTTTAGAGACTCAAACTGTTTTGTTTGTTAAGCCCAGAAGAGGTAATTAATTTGGAAAGTCCCTTGGCTGAGGTTTTAAAGCAAACGCCATGTGTCTTTTCAATCTGTTCTGATGGTAAGTTAAGTTTGTGGTAGCTACAATAATGTTTATCAAACATTATTTTTAAGTCATGCATAATGTTAGTCTGTCAATAGCTTACAATTTTATAAGCATATTTAGTGATACGAAAGCCTGCTCAGGATAAAATATGTGAAGTGTCAAGACATGCAAACATTAATTATAATAAATTAAAAGAAGGAAATATAATAATCATGGTTACTTCTGAGTTATATAATTAAAGATTTTGATTTTATTTTCCTGATTTTTTATGATTAGGAAAAATACTAATTCTAATATTGTCTTCTGGTTAGTAGTAAATCTTTAAATATCCATTCTTAAATGTTTAAACAAAGATGTTCTATGGAGTCAAAAGTCACCGGAAAGCAATTTTGAATTTATTCTATGATCTTTCCTGGCCATAGAGCCTGAAACGTGTTACTTAGTTACTTTACCTTAGAATTTTGTTTCTATTTAATAAATATGGTAAATCTCTGTCATTCCCTTCGATTGTTAGCTACTTTGGTCAAACCATAAGTTTTCTGCATCAACCCTAAATGAGCACACCTTTTAATTCTTTATGTAAAGTCTTACCCTGTTCTATATTAGAGATAGGATCATAATAGGTACATGAATGACTTGTATTATAAATATATGCATATAAATCTATAATTTTACTGATGATAAATAGAATGGATATTCACTATATTTGAGAATGTGTATATTTATAAATGAAAATATAATCTTACCACTCAGATTTGAGTAAATTATCAATTTCTCTTTATAGGAATGGATATTGCATTCAAATGGAGCCTATGCCTTGTTCCTCATTTTTTATTATTTAAACTTAGCATGATGCTTGGATCTTGTTTGTAACTTTCAATAGATGGCCCAATCAGAGTGAGCCATAAACACCTGGGTATTTTTCTTAATTAGTGGTGTGGTTTTGTTGTCATTGACATATGCAGTGTTTTAGCGGGCCCAAAGCAAACTCGGATAACACAGCAGGTGACGTGGAAATGGAGTATAATATAATATCATCCACTGTAGTCGCATTCGTGTGAACATCAGACAAAAGAAGATTTAGGTAGTCTATATGTGTTATTCACAGACATCCAAGTCACTTCACTGTCCTGAGCCATCAGCTGATGGCATGGCTGTAGGAAAACTGATAATGTCTCTCTAAAAGTACAGTTTTATACTTAACCTGCATTTGTTTCATAGAAAGGCTATTTTTTTTTGTATCAAACATGTTGCATAGTAAACATGTTGTAAGAAAAATTCGCTACCCCCAAACCCAAACATCTGGAAATGATTTTCATAGTCACATTTAAAATCAAATTTCTGCACAGCTAATCAGGAAGACGTTAGTTTAATCAAAATACTTTCAGCAATGTCTGAGGTCTTATTTTAATTTCCATTTCAGCAAAACTAATTTTAGTTAAAACTTTCTCCTGCAAAAATTGATGCAGATCATTTTAGCTCCATGTGATATGTAATTGTCACCTGGTGGAATATGTCACTCTTGTTTTCATCTAAGGGAGGTATGCATTCAAAAGAAGTAATATATTTGAATGTTGGTTTTGAAATCAAACGCAAAAATTGTATGATCCTTTGGTTATATTATTCTGCAACTAAAAAAAAATGAAGCAACTTTACATGGAAGGGGGCAGAAATGAAATCACTTGAAGTGCACCCGGTCAGTACAGCCAGTTGGGCAGTATTTTTGCTGTGGCACAGTAGTAGTCTACTAATCCTCCAAATAAGCAAGGGCCTTACCCACATTTTAGGCATTAAATGGGTGCATAATCATCACCAAAATAGAGCACATTTAAACTCTTTAGAATGCTGATTAATTTAAGCATACACATCTTGAATTATGTTCCTTAGATGATAAACACTTATTTTTAGAAGCAGCCATGTACATTTCAACCACATTCACAGTTTTGCTTTGTTTATTAATTCAATCAAGTCATGGAGGAAAATTGTAAGTCAGGGTTTTGTTTTGTTTAAATCAGGTATTAGTCTTCACCCTATTACTTATGTGCATTCGGTTAATGTGGGTATTTTTATATTGTTTTTCAATATAAAGTAAATTTAACCCAAAGAAAGAATTCTTTTTCTTCTGATATTCACAGAGCTACCTCCTGGTTAGTACTACGTTTGCCCTGTTCATTATCTACATGTGACTATCTAAATTTAAATTAATTCAAGTTAAGTAAAATTACACCATGACCTCATCAGTTTTCCTAGCCACATTCCATGTGAGTAGTGACTACTAAACTGAATGGGGTGGAGCCAGAATATTTCCACGTTCACCTCCATCTTCAGCTTCACAGAAAGTTCTATTGGACGGTGGTGAGCTAGAGCATGATCTTAGAGGATTAAATAATATGCAGTAACAGAATGCTTTCTTTCTTTTTTTTTACTATCCAGATCTTTATTTTCAATCACACTGTCCAATCCAAAGATACAAAGCTGTTTACAGAAGTGGTTTATTCTATGTGCAAGACAGAAAATACAAAAGACTGATCCGAGCTAGTAAAGCACATTTGTGAGGCTCTTCAAAGGGACATAAGAGCCAACTGAAAGAATGGCCAAATGCCAAAAATTGAGAAATTAAAATTATAACTAAAACTAGAAACTAAATGCCCGTGAACCCACAATGATATTTTTCCTGTGTAGAGTAGAATTAATGATAATGGAAATCATTTTTATATTCTGGGATAAAAAACACTATATCATTTTGATATATATTTATGTCTCTTATCCTGGAATATCAAAATGATTGGGCAGTTGTATTTCAGGGACTCTGTTATTATGATTGCAATTGTTTGAATCTCTGCTCTATTTACCTATTGCCATTGTACCCAAGTACTCCCATCTTCAGGCTACTGAACATTCTTGTCATACTTAACTATATGCTTTTAAATATACTATTGTTGTTAAAGAATATGTGACATGTGCATAGTTCCTCTAAATGATGTGCCATATTCTATAGATTAGTATGATGTGTTTCAAAATAGAAAAATATTGATGTTTGTGTCACAAAGCACTGAAATATTGATTTTCCTTAAACAGATGAATTGAACAGTTGTGCCATGAAGGAAATATTTTTTAAAGTTTTTACAACTATTTTATGTGCATGAATGTTTTACCTACATGAATGTATGTGTACCATGTATGTTTCTGGTGCCTACGGAGTTTAGAGGGGTGCGATCTGGAATGATAGGGATAGTTGTGAGTCAGCATGTAGGTGCTGACAAGGATACCGGTGTCTTCTTGAAGAGTAAAAAAATGCTCTAAACCACTGATCCATCATTTCTGATGGATCATATTGTCTCATATTAAAATATAAGAAAAATCCATTTCTGAAGGCTCATCAGAAGTGTCAGTATATGTACTTGGTTTTTAGACTCTTGTTTCTCAGTGTTTTATTTTTCTGTCATCAGATTTCTTTGGAATATTCCTGAATCATCTTCTCCATTTATATTACTGTCACTGAAAAGCAATGCTTGTGCTGAGATCATTGAGGGATTGACTTGTCTCTCTCTGCTCTCCTGGGACCTTACACCTCTTCTGTACATGTTTCTTCTCACCCTTTAAGAGTCAGGTTGTACAAACAAGACTATTCATTAGTTCTTGATTTACACTTGGAATTTGAAACCCTTGCTTCTGTGGTGATATATACACATTTTTAGTGCTCATTGGTCTGAGCAGAGATTCTTCCCATGACTTCTTTCCCAATCATAACTCCTTTAATTTCCCACCACAGCATAATCTTCCAATGTGAAGCAATTAAAGGCGCATTTTCTGCCTGATGCTGTTGTTAGTACCTTGATAGCCAAAATACTCTATATTTTTTATCCTTTTTCATATTTTTTTATTAAATTGCTTTTCCATTTTACATACCAACCTCAGTTCCCCTCCCTCCCCTTCTCCCATCCTGCATTCACTCCGCAGAAGGGGTAAGGTCTTCCTTGGGGAATCAACAAGGTCTGGTATACTAACTTGAGGCAGGACCAAATTTCAAAAAATAAATATAATTTATTTTTTCACTTTTTTGTTTGTTTGTTTGGTTTTGTTTTTGTTGTTTTTTGGGAAAAAGTTTCTCTGTGTAGTCCTGCCTGTCCTGGAACTCCCTGTGTATACCAGGCTGGCCTCAAACTCTGAGATGTGACTGCCACTACCTATTAAGATTAGGGGTGTGCACCACCACCACCTGGCTTCACTTCTAGGGAAAAAAGAAGATAAAAGTGTTTCTGTCTCAGGCCTGTGGGTTAAGTGTCTGTTGGGTGAATGAGTTTCATAGTGTCTGGGAAAACCAAGTTATCTTCATTATTATGTTTTCTTTTCTCATTTACTTTTTTACAAACCCAGTGTTTTGGCGATTTGTCAAATCCTCTTCTACTAAATCATTTTCTGTATTGAATTCAGATATCCTGATTGTTTCATTGATTTCTGTAGAGCAGAGAAACCATACACCTGCCTGTGGTTCACTTTATTACAGGGACTTCTGGAGTATGGTGTCCTTAAACAACCAAACATATGATATATTCAAACTGTTAAATCTCACAACCAGTGTGTAAATGATGTTCCATGATAAAGTTTAGATTGATGCATGTCAAAGAGATACAAGCCAAACTGAATGAGCTCCAGGTAGTCAGTGCTGAGACATTTAGTCTATTATCATTACAGCAGGAAGCAGTCAATCACGGTACTGGAGCAGTAGCTGACAGCTTTATGTCTTGATTCTCAGGCAGCAGGCAGAAAGAAAGACACGAGGCTTGGCATGGGCTGAGGTTTTTCTAAAGAAGTTTATTTGAAAAATTAAAAACACAGATCTAAGCTCTGTTGTTTGTTGTCACTTTATTAAGGTTGGCCAATGCCTGAAAACTATCTGTTCCTCAGAATTTAAGAATTGTTTATGTTGCTGAATATGGGCAATATGAGCAATAAAATGGTTTGGTGATTTTGCTTTGCCAATTGTTACCGTGAGACAATGTATAGTGTTCTTAAAAATGTCCCATGTAAAGTTTGAAAATACTGTCTGAATTCCAATATGTAATTTCTGAGCTTTTACAATCTCAAATTATTACAGGCATATGTGTCTCTTATGAAAAATAGGAAATGTTTGAATCAGATTTGTATTGCTTATATCATTGAATTTCATTCACTACCACACTGATGGGCTAGAAATGGCTTTCTGTTGCTTTGACATGGCAGTCAGAGATTGGGACTCTCATTCAACATTGTCTCCCCAGTATTTAGCACGAAATTGATGTTCAACAGGTTCCAGTTAGATGGGAGGTGTCTGTAATATATCAGAACATCAATGATACTGTAACACATGCATCCCATATGTACAAGTATTTTTCAGTTAATTTTAAATGGAGAAACAAGAAGTCAAATAAGAGTCAGGCATTGTAGTCATCTATTTCTCTGAAGATTTTTTTCTGCATTGCTGGTGATCAAAATCAGGACTTTACACATGCTAGCCAAGTACCCTGATCCATATTTTCAGTCCTGAAGACTTTTTTAATGTATAACTTCATCCTCAATTTCCTTTCCTCTACTTTGAATTATTTTTAAGTAAAATTAGATTATTTGTCTTCCCAGGAAACTCAAATGGAAATTATAGAACTAAAAAAATACAATAATAAAAATAAGAAACATGCTGATAGACTCAGTAGTACAGCAGAGACGACAGGAAATAGAATCTGTATCTGGTGAAACTATTGTTCAAGAATTAAGGGAAAATAATAATGAGATTCTCAGTCAAAGGGGGAAAATATCTTCATCTAGCAGGCATACCCTTGAAGAATGGCTCAAGGAATTACTTCTGAAATATAGAAGATGATAAAAAGAAAGATCTTAAAGCATTATGGAGACAAAAGGAACAAAAGAAAGGGCAGAAATATGAATATGTGTATGTGTGTGTCTGCTTTAACTCATAAATGCTGTGTGTCATATATGATAATTGAGACAAAAACTACAGCACTCTCTTATACCATTATCCCAAGACAATGACATGTAAATATTGAGAAGGTAAGTGGCCCTAAATGTAAGTTAAATTTACACATATCACTCCAACTAGTAAAATATTGACACCAGTAGATTGCTATGTGGTGTAGGAGGTCCTTCTGTCTATGTGTTGCTTTTATCGATTAATGAATAAAGAAACTGGCTTGGCCTATAGTAAGGTAGAACTTATATAGGCGGGGAAAACTAAGCTGAATGCTGGGAGAAAAGAGATGGAGTAGGAGAAAAGCCATGGAGCCGCTGCCAGAAACAGACATGCCAAAACTTTGCTGGTAAGCCACTGCCACGTGGTGATACACGAATTAATAAAAATGGATTAAATTAATATGTAAGAGTCAGCCAATAAGGAGCTAGATCTAATGGGCCAAGCAGTGATTTAATTAATACAGTTTCTGTGTGGTTATTTCGGGAGTCTGGGAAGCCAGGAAATGAACAAGTAGCCTTACTACAACAAATTGGCATCCATTCACATATTCATACTGGTTTATTTAATCTTTTATTTTGCAGTGCTGGGAATTGAACTCAGAGTCTTGTGCATCTTATGTGTATTACAGTACTTTAAATTATATCTTCTTGTATAGAGCGCACAACCAAACAGTAGCATAATGGACGTTTTCCCCCAAGCACCTACAGAACATGGACTAAGAGAAACCACATACTGGGCCCTGAAAGCCTGAATTTAAAATAATGGAAATTGTTCACAGCATGGCATTTCAATATAATGCAACTAAACACAAACCAGTAATGAAGAGAATGAGGTTGTAGCTACTTAGTATGCCTACTTAGCATGCCCAAGTCTCTGTTTTTCATCTTCAACTCCATAAAAAGTTACTGATGTTCCTCAAAGTGGTTTCTTTATGTGCAATATTTCTGTCTACATTTACTCTGTTAAAAATTAAAACAAAAAAATTAGGAAAATATACAACACATATTCCTTTAGTCACCAGATCAGTGACAAAAATTACCTGTTATTTAGATTTTGGTTCACTCCACTCATAAAAGGATGAAAGTGTAAAAGAAAACTGACATCTTAGTACAACCTTGGATATAACAGATCTCCCAGTAAGCCCCTCACCCCCACCACATACAGTGGTCTTGGGTATAGAACTCATCTGGAATTTTTGTAGTTTGGGATTTGAAAGCCCTAGCAAAGCCTTAGCTTCTGACTTATCTAATTTTTCTTAAATAAATGCTCTGTATTCAAGGACGACTGTATCATGGGAAATCTGTATTCAAGGACCACTGTATCATGAGAAATCTGAGTTGGTTGTTCTTCATCCTCAAGCCCTTTAGTGTCCCTGAGCAAGACCGTAAGGAGCTGTGTATAACCTGACCCATATATGAATTGCTAGTCCGGTATCACTACCTCACTGTCACCTAGGTTTTGATCATCTTCATGTCATAACTTGTTAGAAACTTATGAGTTAGAAAGTCTTTCCTGTGTTTATTTTCTGCCTCAGGTCTCCTGTATGTTTCATTCTGCTCTCTTCCCTGTCTTAGCGTCACTAGACAAGATGTTTTGTATTGTGTGATGAAAATGCCATCAGAACATATGTACTACTAATTATCTGATGCTTGTCTTTTCAGGTCATGTTAGTATGGTGCAAGTGACCATCCCAGACAGTTTCTTGAATGTGACTGTTGGATCTAATGTCACTCTGCTCTGCCTCTATACCACCACTGTGACGTCGCTGGACAAGCTCACAATCCAATGGTCTTTCTTCCACAATAAGGACATGGAGCCAATTTCTGTAAGGATTCTCTAAATTATTCCCACTAAGTAGTTCTTTTTGAAAACCGTTGGGATGAGCATATGAAGGAACAGTGAAATATGAAGGAACTAGTGAGAACAATGACAAAACTTGAGACACAGAGTTTTTAGATAGCTGTTTAGGGAAGACAGTCTATCTGAATGACGTGGTCTTTGTGTTACCTTGTTTATGTTTGTCTGTTATCTCAATTTTGAATAGTCAGCACCATATATATCATGTATTCCAGAATAGCCACAGGCTTCCTCGTATGTGAAGTAAGCAGTAGCTTTTTAAAAGATATCTTCCAGAAGTCTCCCCGTTATTTCCAGAAGAATCCAGTTCACATGCCAACCCCAATGACTCTGCTTAATTTAATGACTGGGATCTGCCTGTGAAGGGAATTCACTCATTGTTCCAGATTGAGTCCTGACAATTAGAGATTCCACAGATCAGTGGAGAAGGATCATGGTAGCATTGAACCCTATGTAATCGAGGGCAGCATGAGGTTAGAAGATAAAGAATGGAAGGGGTGAGTAAGGGGTTTGGGAAGAGTTGCCAGAATAGGGTGGATGAGCACCTATGGGGAAGGATGATGATTCCACAGGCAAAATGCCTATCGCTAGATTGTCTTCATTTGACTTTGAATAGTAATTATTTTTGAAAATTATCCCAAGAGATAAAATTGTATTACAGAGAGATGTGTACATCTGGGCACATGTGTATGCAAACGCACATACTATTCGTACCTTTATACATCTCTTGAAAAAGATCTCCAGTTACCAGGTTCTCAAAATGATTCATGACCCCAAATAGAGAAGAGACAAGCACCGGTGGGGTGGGATAGTCAGCGGCTCCTGGGTTGGGCTTTGGAGGAAAAGGGAGCTTTGTTCATTAGAAAGATAAGGGAACATGGCCTAGAAGCAGAAGTGGAGGGAGAGGAAAGTAAGCTTGGAGGAACTACATCTTAGCCAGCTAAGCTTCTGCTTAGCTCACTGACTCTTTGTTGGTACTCAATTTCTTTACCTGAGACTGTGAACTTTTCCTTATCAAAGAGCACACCCACAGGGAGAGTCCTTCAGTGGTACCCTGTATTCAGCATTAAACAGTTTTGTTTAATATTGGTTATGGTTAGACAATATTGGTATTACTCCATGCCTCCCTCTCTTTCAAATACAGTAGAATGACAGTACTCATGGCGACAAGGCATATGAAAACACTTAAAAAATATAAAGCCCTCTCACTCTTATCCCATGCAAGCATCACCATCAACAGCAAATAATAATACTAAGGCTGGCCAGGCGGTGGTGGCGCACGCCTTTAATCCCCCCACTTGGGAGGCAGAGGCAGGCGGATCTCTGTGAGTTCGAGACCAGCCTGGTCTACAAGAGCTAGTTCCAGGACAGGCTCCAAAACCACAGAGAAACCCTGTCTCGAAAAACCAAAAAAAAAAATGCTGCCAGTTTCTATCCCCAAAGTGACCTGGCATGCTTGTGTCAACTAAAAAAGAATTGCTTTTGCCCACAGGTTGTTTTCAATAATCACATGATTTGTTCTTTTAAAAATTTGATTCCTTAGTAGTCCTTTCAACACATTGTCCTTCTCTTTTTTCTAGTGCTAGCTGAATTTAGAGAGACCCCAGCATCTTTTGAAATGTCTTGTGCTTGATACTCAATGCAAGATGTACTCGACTTCCTGGAGGCCAGGCAAAGCGAATCTGAGCTCTAGAGTGCAGATTCTTCACTTTGCATCCCCTGATACTGGAATTTACAGAGCCACCTCTTGATTGAGCTCTAGCCGCTTAGAAGCTGGGAGAGAATTGTGACTAGCTCTGAATTTTTCTTAGGGAGAGACCGCAGGGCATGAAGCTGTAGCCAATTATCGTGCGTTTGGCTTGAGCTCGGGACTTCTCTTAGAACTTTTGAAAAATCTTTTGACAAGTATTTGATGAATTGCTTTCTCTACTTGCCAGATCAAATGAGGTCCTTTCCCCTGAGCTGCTAGATGAAAGGAAAAATGCTTGAGAGCAGCGCAAAGTCTGTGTGAGGATGACAAGGACGATCAGGGCTGCTTGAGGACAAGGAGGGTGAAAACACCTGCCAAAGCAAAGCTTTCTTTTCTTCCTGTTGTTCCATCTTCCTTCAGCCTCCTTCCCCTGCCCCATTCCCATCACAGCCCCCTTTGAGCCCCTACTCCAAGATAACTGGATTTCCTCGCTTCCCTCCTCTTCTCCCCCTTCTTCCCTCTCGTCTCCTCTCCTACCATGCGCACATGGGCTTTTCTTTGGACTCAGTTTGGAGTTCCAGTAGAAACTTCTGGATGGATATCAGTTCTGCTCCTCACTCTGCTACCTATTTGCTGGCTGGATAACCCTGGACGTTTAGAGACACTTGACGTTTTAGAGATTCAGATTTTCCCATCTGAAAAATGGGGCTACTTACCTATCTTAACAGCTTTAATGAAAAAAATTGAATGACATTGTTCTTGTGAAACAGTAGGAAGTCTTCTATACTGCAAACATTCAGTTAATGTGAGCTATTATCATTACTATCACCATTCATTAAAATTTGATTTTGCAAAATTATCTCATCCATGTCCCAGCTATATCAGAGGGACCAGGAAAACCAGCCCAACAAGATACACTTAGTATAACTATGTAACTCAGCCATGACAGCTCTTCAAGGATTTCCTGACCTTGAACCCCCAATTGCTCTCCCTACCAGATCCCTAATGGCTAGAGGGAGAGCCCAAACCCTTTTCTTCTGCTACTTCTCATTCCTAAGCAGAACTTGTTCAGCTAAGAGTTCATAGACATCCTGAGTTGAGATACTATTTTTCAAAATACAATTTGGCTTTGACTCCTGGTGCCTTCCCTGCTCATTTTCATGAATTCAGACTTGTGTAGAACATGTTGTAAGTTTTTCTAGTGAATGCTGGTGGGGTATTTGGGGATGCTAAAAAGAAACCACTAGGCTGTAGTGGTTGGTAGTATGATTTCCTAGTGTGCATGAAGCCCTGTGTTCAGTCCCCAGCACCACATAAAGCAGGCATGGTCACACATGCCTGTAATTCTAGGACTCAGTAGGTGGAAGAAGGAGGATCAGAAATTCAAGGTCGCTAATGGCTTCCTAGCAAGTTAAAGGCCAGTCAGTGATGCATGAAATGCTCTCTGAAGTCACCATCCCCCCACACATATCTGTCATAGAGACTGCTGTTTATATAACATTCTGTGACCTATGAGAGTAAGGTGTTGCTAGACTGACCACTGAGTGATTTAATGCAACTCCTGAGTTGATATAGCAATATAGCATGTAGCATTCGGCTCTCAGATCCACCCGTTTCTGCTCAAACACAGCATGGCTCGCACCCCAATACTGAGGGTATGGAGGAAAAGGCAGTCAGTCAGTGTCTAAATATGGCGCATGCAAGAGACGCACGGGGAAGATGTAGCTGGACCTCTCAGGTAAGAAAACCCATTGATGTACTACTAGACCCCTCCACTAATTGCAGTCTAGGACACTAGCACCTGCCTTAGGAGTGGGGTGGGAGGGTTTACATTTGATAACAATACAGATCAGTGCAAGTCCTATATAAATCTGGGGAAGTTTATTTTGTTGTGGTTTGGTTTTTGATACAGGACCTTGCTATAGAATACAGGCTGGGGGGCTGGAAAGATGGCTCAGTGGTTAAGAGCACCGCCTGCCCTTCCAAAGGTCCTGAGTTCAATTCCCAGCAACCACATGGTGGCTCACAACCATCTGTAATGAGATCTGTGCCCTCTTCTGGCCTGCATGCAGAGTACTGAGAATACTATATACATAATAAATAAATAAATCTTTAAAAAAAAAAGAATACAGGCTGGCCTTGAACTTGGAATCCTCCTGCCTCAGCCTCCTAAGTACTGGAATTAAGGTGTGTATCATAAAACTAGAAAAGTATGGCCTTGAGCGATGGCTCCGCAGTTAAGAGAGCTTGCTGATATTACAGAAGACCTGAATGTGATTCCCAGCAGCCATGTTAGATGGCTCACAATTGCCGGGAGCTCTAACTCCAGGAGATCCAACAATTTCTTCCAGCCTCCTTGGGCACCTTCCCACCCATGCAGATAACCCCACATAGATACACACACGTACATAAAAATAACTTTTAAAAAATAAAATAAAACCTAGAGAAGTTTTGAGTTTACCTTCTCATGCCCATGCTTGGAATGCTATTATTTTTTAATTAATTAACTAATTTATTTATTTTAAAACAATCTTTTCTCATTTTACATACCAATCCCAGTTCTCATTACTTCCCCTCCTCTCACTCCTTCCACCTCTCCCCACCCTCATCCACTCCTCAGAGAGGGTAAGGCTTCCTTCCCATGGGGAGTTAACAAAGTCTAGCACATGGCTTGAGGCAGGCCCAAGGCCCTCCCCACTATATCCAGGCTGAGCTAGGTATCCCTCTAAAGAGAACTCTCTTAATCCTCTTCCAAAAGATTCAGGGTGGTGGTGGTGCATGACTTTAATCCCAGCACTTGGGAGGCAGAGGCAGGCGGATCTCTGTGAGTTCGAGGCCAGCCTGGTCTACAGAGCAAGTGCCAGGACAGGCTCCAAAGTTACACAGAGAAACCCTGTCTCGAAAATCAAAAACAAAATTAAAAAAGGTTCAGGCCCTAGAGCTGCTCTGATCAGGCTGGTGGCCAGCTTTTGCCACACCTCCTCCTCCTCAAAGTCATTGCATTAAATAGCAATTGACTCTGGGGCCTAGAGTTTCTCAGTACCCAGGGCCAGATTCTGTGTTTCATTGAATGTCCTCGCTAGGGAGGTCCCTTTGGTGCATGGAAACTGCTCTTGCCACAAGTTCTCCGATCCTGAGGACAAAAACTATCCATTTGGTCCTCCCTTCAGAAATGTCCTGTGTTCAGAAATACGGAGAGCTTCGCAGCATCCCTCAGGGGGTACCCTTTTCTGGAAACTCACCTGGCACAAGCAGGCTAACAAAGAAGTTTGGGGAGATCTGGTGCCCCTCTGGCCATAGATTCTTCCCTTTCCAGGCTAGCTTGTTATGCTAGAGCTAGAGACGACACTTATACATGAATAAAATGCATACGGACCCTGTTTAGCGTGGGTCCATTAGACAGTGCTCCCCTAAAGTCCTCCCTCATATCCACAGCATGTCTACAATTTAGACAACTCCTTCCCCTAAATTTATTGTCTTCATATTTTCTGGCTTCTTACATTTTAAAACCATTTTTTCCTGTAGAAAATGGTTCTGTAATCTAGGTGTGTGTGTGTGTGTGTGTGTGTGTGTGTGTGTGTGTGTATTCCATCACTTCAGGGAAATTTAATAATGGAGAGGGCATTGATTTTATTGTTTTAGAATCTCTAGCCCCTAGTGACATTTGGTGGGTGCTGGCTTAGAGCTACTAAATGTTCTGCAACACATGCAGCAAAGCCATGCAGCAAATCGTCCCAAATGCTACTGTGGCTGTCAGGGAAGACCACTACAAGGCTTCCATCTCTTCTCACTGGTGTTTATCTGCTCTGGAATTTACGTCATTTCTGTTGAAGAAGTGCCCCTAAAAAAAAAATAAAAGAAGTCAGGGATCGCCCATTAGTTCAACCAAAAATTATGCAAAGCAGTCCCTCAAACGGTGGATGGCTCAAGCAATAACGAGCTGGTGAAATGGGACAAGAGAGCCTTTCCTGCAGTATCCTGTTTCTGTTCTGTACAATCCTAGCCTTAGCAGTACAGGCCAGACAACATTCTGGGCCTGAACCCTCTGCTGCTTTCCCACCCTTGCCTAGTTGCTTTAGGAGCAAGGCCGGAAAGCAGGGAGCTGGAAGGGAGGAAAAGGAAAGAATGTGTGGTTTAGCTATGGACGCCCAGGCTTCCATATCTCCCAAAGGAACCTGGAAAGCAGCTCTGGAAACTAATGGCAGTTAGTAAAGCCCACTCTGACTCCAATGGAAAGCAGATGGGGTCCTTTCAAGCCTTCCTGCTCATACCCCAAGCTTCTTGTTTGGGAGTGGGAGTGCGAACTGGAGGAAACAACTGGCTGCCAGCTGTACAGCCTTGTGTGACTAGGAACTTGGCATGATGGGCCAAGGAAGGCGGCCGCGTAAAGATACGGAGCAGCCTGAGGCACAGCTGGAGAATGTGGAATGTATTGTGTGGCCAAACTGTTCAGTATTAGAAGCAGCAGACCAGGAAACGGCACCAAAGGGCAGGAGGGAGGAAAGGGAGATGGCTGCAGGCAGTGGAACAGCCCCAAGGGGAAGGTAAATCATCAGCCTTGTCTCGGGCAGGAACCGTGAGACTTGGGTTCCAGGTTTGACTATGAATTGGCTCTCTGACCTTGGGAAGAATCATTTCCTCTATCAGGGCCTCAGTGTCCTCTGCAATAGATGAGAATGAATTCAAATTTGCAAACTGGAGGCTCGGGGCCTGGTTTGGCCAGCAGATATATTATGATTGGCTAGGCCAGCATTTTGTTTCTATAGGGTATGCCAGCTCCTCCATATACCATGGTCCCCTCTGGCCTGCTCCTACTTCTAGACCCTGTGCCACCTTTGTCTCATATGTCCAATATCCAGCAGGCTCCTGAAGGCTCCTGAACCTTAGTGACATGAACTGAGTGATCTCAAAGAGGATCTAGACACTACCAGGCTTCTGTGACTCTACCCACCAGCCACCAGCGTGGCAAAGAGGGCAGGAAGAGGAGACATTGAGATAAAGCGGGACTCTGTCATGAACATGGGCACAGGCAGCGATGGGTAGAATTTTAAACAAGTACTACTTTAGGAAACATGGGGATGGATTTTCTTAAAGCCAGGCTCCTCTCATCCTTGCAAGGATGCAGCCTGTTGAACACAGGAGGCTTTTCCTTGGCCTCAGTAACTCTGATCTCCAAACTGATAATACTTTTTCTTCGCAAAGGATGTCAGCCACCTAGTGGTATGGGCCGTGCCTTGGCTGTTGTTCAGCTTTAACTTTTTTTTCTTACTTAGCTTTGATCTTTTAAGTATTACTCTTTGTGGAAAATGAAACCAACTTGTAGCCCTTCCAGAGTGATTAGATAAGCAGTTTGAAGAAAACATTCCTTTCTTGTTTTCTTCCCAAGGACAGAGTTAGCAGGGCGGACTTGCCCAAGCAGAATGCCCCTTCTGTACATCTGGCTAATGCTTGGAACTTCCCTTCCCAAACAGCAGCCTAAACTCAAGGCCTTTACTTTTTAGGTCTCCTGTCGTATCCCTGTAGTATCTATCATCTGTGAGGGAAATATCGATTAGACAACAGTGTAAGAAGCAGGATAGAAGGGATGGGGGGCTTTCATAGGTAAGGTACACATCTGAGACCTAGGCCTATACCACCCTGCCTGGTCTCTGTTGTTGTACCCTTCCGTGTCCTAGTCCTTGCCTTAAAAGTATTCTGTAACCTTCATTTCTACATAATCAAGGTCACTTCACCTAGATCCTTTAGGACTTCCTGTGGTGGGATTGATGCTGTATCTCACTGTGACATCATCAGATGTCACAAAGCAGGGCTGGCCTGCGTCCTCTTGGGAGCAGAGGGACTGGTCAGAGGCTTAGGTTAGAAAGGACTGTCTTGATGGCAGCGGGCTGTGTTCCAGGTAAGTGACCACAGGACCTCACGCTGTTCATTAAGAAGTAAATATATTTTAGTGTTTCCTGCCAGGGTAGCACAGTCCTTTGATAAGTTAAATCTATCCCTGTCTCATTTGAATACCTTGAGTTAATCGTAGCTCTCTGGGTTCTCTGTCAAACGCGTGTCATCAGGGTTTCAGTTCCGGAGGCATGAATAAACGAAGTATAGGATACTGTATTTAGGGCAGGAAAGAATGTTAGAGGAGACAAAGGAGAGAATAAGTTCCTTTCACTTTAATTATGCTCATTTTTTAAAAAATTTTCCCTCAAAATTCTGCTTGTTGGTCTCGCTTTAACATTGCCTTTCTGCATAAAGGGGAAGAGGTTTGAAGTGCACTAGATAACATCTTTTGGGTTTTCTGACTGTTTTCTCTTTTTTAATAGATTGGGTAAAGAGCCCTGGGCAAGGAATTAGGGAAACTGGTTCTACTTCTGCTTAAACTTATTTTGCTTTTGTGTTTCACCCTTTTTTTCCTCACCGAGGGTGGAAAATAAGACACCGTCCGTGCTAGGCAAGCGCTCTGCCATTCAATGTCACACCCATCCCTCAACTTACTTTTAACATTTTTTAAATCCTCCCCTGGCTTCAGTTTCTTGTTTAAAGTCAGGCTAATGAAGTAAATGAACTGGAAGAGCCATCTAGAAGATTTTATGAAAATAACTTGTCTCATTAGACTACAGCAATCCCAATTTACGAGACATAAGCACCAATTGTGGAATGACACACATTTATATTAATTTCGCAAACTGTGTACACAGAATGCCTGTATTGGAAAGGGAACTCAGATCGTATTACCTCATCTAGTGATTCCCAAGGTGCAGCCACTCATGCCCCAGCCTCATAATTTCTGTCATACTCGTGTATCCCCAGAACTATTTTTCAGTTAATCCTTTCTATATTGACTGAGACTTTTTAAATCCAAAGACCTTAGTGTCACCTATGCAACAATGTCCATGAAGTTACATATTTGCTATGCTCCATGTGCTTCTCTTGTGTATATTAACATTAGTAGGTTTTCATGTGGACATCACTGGAAATCACTGTCCTACTTGGTTCTAGCTCCTTGTGCACATTTGGAAACTAAAGGTTAGAGAGATTAGCTTTCTTTGCCTCTTATCACTCAGCAAGTTGCTATGGAGACATAATTAGGGAATACCTCATGTGACTACATCACATCAGAGGCAGAGCCGTGGGGAAAGCCTAGATCTTATGACACTTAGTTCAGACTTCTCTCAACCATGTCACTCTTATCCCATGGTTGCCATTAATACCTAAGAGCCACGCAATTTAATGTAAATGTAAGTAGAATTCAGATCTTTCTTTAATCAATTATTTTATTGTAAAATTTATTTTTAATAATGTTGCTAAATACTAGTATTTTTATTATTTTTAAATTTTGTATATGTGTACTGTATTAAATTATTTCTTTCCTCCCTTTCCTGTCTTCCTCTCCCTTATCTTCCCTTCCCCTGTGGTCCCTCTCAAATTCATGTGTTTTTCTTTAATTATTATTATTACATATATAAGAGTAAATATATAAATACAACCCATTGGGTCCATATAGCGTTGTCCATATGTATATATTTTTAGAGCTGGCCACTTGGTACTGAATAACCAATTAGGAGGCTCATCCCTGGGAAATACTGATTCTCCCTCTTTCTGCAGTCACTAACTCCTTGTAGCTTTTCTTTATACAATATGTTTTGAGCATATTTGCCCCCTGTACACTCTTCCCAGACCCACCCGCTTCCCTACCCACCCGATTTTGTGTCCTCTCTTTTGCTACCCATCAAATCCAATCTGCACTGCCTATATATTCTTGCATGGGTGGCCTTCCATTGGAGGGCAGTTGACTTATCAGGGACAACACTCTTAAAACTGGCTCTTTCTCTCTCAGCAGCTATCAGTTGCCAATTGTTCCTCAGTTAGGAGTGGACTTCATGCCCACCTTTCCCAAACTCCATGGAGGATTTGGTCTTGCTTGAGCATTCATGAGAGTGTTTGTAAAGACAGTCTTGCTATTTAGCTTAGGTGGTCCCCAAGAGACTGAGACTGCAGGTTTATGTCCCTGCTTGGCTCAAGTTCAGTACATTGTAAAGATAACAACAGCAGCAACAAGTGAATCCTGGGCCTTCAGATGTGTCACCCGAAGTTCTTAGCTCTGCTATTTGACACGGAGAGAAAGATGGCAGGTAACAGGGACCAAGCACACTGTAGGCCTTTTGCTGGTTTACCTGGTTTTATCCTACCACGGCTACTATGAGAGAATGAGAGCAATTGATTTCTCACAGAATAGTCTGCCCTGAAGTATTTTACTTCTAACAAACAGAATGTATCCAAGTGCACAATCTGAGAGATACGTATGCGTGAAAGAAACATGAACATTTGAGCTTTTAGGGAGAACAGTCTCAGTGGGCAAGGTAAACTCAAATCAGAAGTTCATAAAGTGGAAATACCTCTTGAGATCTATCTTATGTACCGGTGAGTTTCTACCAGGTAGACTAAGCAGGTGAATGCTTGTTTTCCTAGCCAAAGGTTAGAAGTTAAATCCTCTGAACTCCAATTGTCTCTTTTTCTGTAAAATAAGCTTCCTAGTCTCTGATCTAGTGACATCACAGAGCTAGAGGCAAATGAGGTAATGACATATACAATCAAAAAGTTAAATGCCCCACCGAACTGAGAAATCTTGGCTACAGGGACCACAGATAGAAGGGACTTTCTGGAAATTTCTCCTCATTCTGGATTGTAGTAAGGAGCAGCAGGCTATGTTCCTGCCTGGATCCCATATGGCTAGCATAGCCCGGAAATAATAACACACAAATTGTATTCTTTTAAATACTTCCTGGCCCATAAGCTCTAGCCTCTTACTGGCTCTCACATCTTGCTTAACCCATTTCTATTAATGTGTGTAGCATCACAAGGTCGTGGCTTACTGGGAAGGATTCTAGCCTGCTTCCATCTCGGAGAGGAGAGCTATGGCAACTGACCTCATTGCCTTCTTCCCAGCATCCTGTTCTGTTTATTCCGCCTACCTAATTTTCTGTCCTATTAAAGGGCCAAGGCAGTTTTTTTATTTAACCAATGAAATCAACACAAAACAGAAGACTCTCCCATATCACTGGATACTCTCAGGTTCTCAGTTTTACTATTTTTCTACACTAGATTTACTACTATGAAGGCGGACAAGCTTCGGCTATTGGGCAATTCAAGGATCGAATTATAGGGTCAACAAATCCAGAGAACGCATCGATCACTATATTGCAGATGCAACCAGCGGACAGTGGAGTTTACATCTGTGATGTCAACAACCCTCCAGATTTTGTCGGCAAAAACCAAGGCATTCTTGCTGTCACTGTGTTAGGTATGGGCATTCTTTTCATGTCTTTTGTTTTCTTGAAGCAACTAAAGACAGTGAATTAGTCAAAGCACTGGGTTATGGTGTCAGTTATGTCCCTGGGGCTAAATATTCTCCCTGCTCCTTTCACTGCCAGAGACCATTTTATTAATTTAAGATTTATCTTATCAGTAGAGAGTTTTCCAACTTAATCTGTATAGTGATACCTAAAAATTAGCATAAAATGTACAGAAACAATAGGATCCCTAGCTTGAAAGGATACAGTGAAACAAACTTTGTCCCACCAAATGATCACCAATGAGCTCTTCAAGGAGGAACTTGTAATTAAAGCCACACTTAATTACAAGAAACAATTGTCAACCTACTTATTCCCTTTTTCAAGCCAACCACTGTTCTTACCAAGAACTGATTCTTTCAAAGGCAGAAACATCCACTTCGTTTATATTTATTTTTTATTATATTTTGTTTTGTCTTGAGGCAGAATCTCATGAAACCATAGCTAGCTCTAGCTAGCCTTGAGCTTGCTATGTAACTATTTAATTTGATTTTTGATCTGTGGAGGGGGGGCTCACTTTTTAAAAATGCTAATGATATTTGGAAAATGTTACTTGTTAAGGCATTATTAAGAATTAAGTTATGATAAACACGTATTTATTATATGATATTGGACAAATCACATTTACTCTCAAACTAGACTTGGAAGAGCTTATTTATTCAGGATTTATGGTTTCCCTACTTTGTAAAAGGAAATAAAGGCTTGGTGGTGATGGAGACATGGCTTCTGCCCATGAGGAATACTCAGTTTGTTTGCTTTCTGGGGATCATTCAAACTCAAGAGAACACAGCAGGGGCTGAGTACCTATTTACAGACTCTAAAGTAGAAAGTATTAAAGGGAGGGGAACGGGCTTGAAGCCCTTACCAGTAGCCCGAATGGAGCTGGCCTAGTCATTGCTCCCGTCCGCTTGAGTATATGAATCACTGGAAAGGAAGCAGTAGGCCAAGTCAGCTACTAGATAGTTGGTTTAAAGAAGCAACAAATGACAGCAAGATACACATCTACGAGAACTATCCACAGTTGTCTTGCTACCTATGTGATTTTAAAAGGCACCAATTGATGCTTACTGTGAGGTCTGCCATCGTATTTACCCTCCTAAGTAAGAGGGAAATGTTACATCAGAGCTAATATTTAAGAGAGGGTTTTCTCAAATCAGTTGTATTTTATTGTGCTGAGCCTTGTGCTTGGCTTTGGAGCGTAGGAATAGATGAACCCATTGCTAGGACAATTTGTGTGACAGTTCATAAGATCAGTCATATGGGGGAAAACTGTGGTAAGAATGCCAAGAACCACGAGACGGAAAATCAGTAAACTTAGGTTCTAGACCTTTTTCTGTTCCTGGTGACCTCATACAATGCAGTCCACTACTCTCTGGCCAATGTAAGATAGATTTTAAGTCTGTCTTCTTTACTGATTTATTATGAGAATCCAATTAGGTGCTGGGGATTAAAGAGCCTTTTAATGTTCAAGTAATTTGAGGGATTAATCGTCTAATGATTTTCTGTTGCCTCTGTGTCTCTGGGGTGATCTGAGCAGAAGCAATTTTCAAGAAAAGGCTTGGAAATAGCCCTGAGATAAGCTAGACAAGAAGGTTAATATTCTTAAATTTGAAGTTCAGAGGATTCCCAGTGAATTTCCACAAGTCAAAGATATCTGAAGCTAGTTTTTTTTTCTTCCCTTTGAGTCTTTGGGTCAGATAAGTCTTGTCATGAGTTTGTCATGATTTTTCTTGAAGCAGTCAGAAACCATAAAATAAAGATACTAAACAATCTATGGAATTTCCTTCCACAGACATACTCAAAAATTCCATTTTCATTAATTCAGAAAAGAACAAGGTTTTCCTATGAGTTTCAACTTTCCAGAAATTAGTGATAGTAAATTGTCTCTAAATTTTCAAAGTCTGTTCACAATTCTCAAGTCCCATTGCACATGAACACCCTGACTGGGCCTGGGACAAGTAGAGATGGGTGGGTCGGAGGGGGCAGTTGTACGGAGAGTTAACTAATACACCGCCGAGGATGGTTCTTCATAGCACTACATTAAAAGAATCTGTTTATTGTAATGAACTCACAAATAAAAATGTCCCACAGGTAGATTATGGTAACCATTCAAACACTTACCCAGGCCCAAGCTCAATGCAACCCAATGATCTTATGAAAAGTTAGAATGGCCATGCTGAAGTCATGGAGCTTTGCTCTTAGGCCTTTCCCCTTTCAATGTCAGTTACACATTATAAAAACGAAAAATCTATGAGTCAGTTGAAACTAGAAAACCAATTAGCTTTATATTCTCTTTTATGATTCATGTGTCCTTTTGCCTGCATTCCATCTCTTCTCATCACCTAATAGTACCCTTTCTTGGTCTCCTTTCTAAATGCTATGCTACACCAATGTGTATATTACGCAAAATGTTATACTCTACCCATGATGTATATATGTTTATAGGTAAACAGCTATGAACGTGGGTATAGTATAGCCATGTATCCTTGAGACATTTCTCACCGAGCATGGATATCAATCAATCCCGTGTATTTGCTTTACATTCATGCACTCCTTCATCAGAGCCCGGGAACATGCCTCAGTTACTGTTCTAAGCAATGGAAATAGTAAGATGTAAAAAATAGGGTCCCAGCCCTCCAAAAATCCAATCTGGTGAAAGAGACAGATTGCACGAACACTTACAGTGGGAGGAGAGCTGTGAAGGCACAGAGAAAGCTACAGAAGGGGAACCAGAGAAGGCTTATCAGGGAAAGAGACTTGTGCTGGCCGAGGAAGGATGCCTAAGAACATGTCAGGTAGAGCAGAGGCTGAAGTGGCAGGGTACATACAGTTCAGGTGAAGAAAGCCGGGAGCCGAGAAGCAGGTGGTTTGGATGGCCATTCATTTAAGAGACCTCCATTAGTCATGACAACCCTCTAAAATCAATCTCTGAAAAACACCCACATCGACTCTGAATAATTATTATGTGTACATTTGGAATGAGCACCATCTCCATTCTGCAGTTTGGCGCATAAAAATTATTAATTTAGAGGAGCTTTGTGAACACACTGAAGCATTTTCATCTGTCTTCTGGGATGAGCCTTTTCCTTCCACCCAAATCCTGATGAAAGCAATAAAGCCAAAGGGTAGATCAATGGCTTTGCCAGTAAAACATAGTAGCTCTTTGGGGGTACTTTAGCTCGATGAAATGTCAAGCTCAATTCGGATTCAGTAGTTTTAGAAGATATATAGATTTGCAGCTTGTCTCAAAATGAATCAGCTAGTGTTTTGTTAATAATAAAAAAAGAGAGATAGAAGGAGAAAAAGAACAACAAGAAGCCTAATCTAGATTTGAATCTAGCCTCAGTGAATGAGTGCTAGTTATTCTAGTTTGCTATGTATAATTTAGTCCTGGTGCCTGACTTTTAATGTTGAAATGCCCACATTTTTCTGTTCAGATTGTTCTGTTCTTATATAGGGGCTATAGCAGTCAGACCATTTTGTAAAGACACTAAGCCTAATCTTAGTTGAATGGTATAGTTAAATGGCCTAGTTTAAGGTAGGTGAATCAAGTTTTTCCCATCTCAGAAAGCCATCGATAGGGAGAGTATTGAAATCTAAATAGAAAAATTCTCTAACTCAAAAGACACCAGTTTTCAAAGGATAGTGGAGCATTTTAAAGGGTTGTGCTTATACCTGTCTTCTTCTGCATACAAGGGTTTGAGTCTGAGATGGCTTATCAGAGCAGAAGCTGGTAGAAGATTGATTTCGGCATCAAAAATTAGTCCAGTCCATAGCCAACAGCAATTCCATGTGCAATGCTTTGTTTATAATATTTACTTTTGGCTGGCCAGAGGTTAGATCATTTCTTATTCATGTTTTATAGATGAGACAACTCGAGGCTTAGTTCAATTACATAACTTGTCCAAATACCTATAAGGTAAAGTTGCATAGCTCTGGTTCTGTGTGGATCCAGATCTGTGATCACATGTCCCAGGAGAATCAATGGGTAGTCTGAAACATTTAAGTTATAAATTTCATAAATTAGATGCTAGAGGGATGGATTAAGATAAGGAAGAAGAGCTGGGTACAGTATCATATGCCTGTAATTCTAGTACTTGGAAGGTAGAGGCCAGATTCAAGTTCAAACCCAGCAACCAACCAACTAACCAGAGGAACAGAAAACCAAAGGATGGCTGTTCATTGGAAAGTACATCCAAAACTTACAGTCATCACTCGTGTGTGTTATTAGGGACAGACTACCTGGCATAAAGTGAGATTGTGATTCACAGTTACCCAGAGAGTGTCTCCTTGATCCAGGTCTCTGTCCAGGTGTTGTCATAAGCAGCTGAAAAACGGCATGTCCAAAACTGCCCCCAGCATCTCTCCTTCCTCCTCATCCCATCCTCTAAAGCTTGTTCTTCTACCTGAATTCTTTCTCTTGGATGGTGGCAGGATCATGGATACAGAATCCGAAGCCTGGGAATCAGCATAGATCCTTACTTTCCTCGGTAGCTAGCTGGTCACTAGCTCCTGTGACTATTTTCTTAATACCTCTTGAATCACCTTTCCCTTGGTCCAGGAACCCTCAGTATCAGAGAGAGCTATATGGGAAGTACTAGAAAGAACATCATTACTACCTTTCTCAAACTCCTTCCGTGGTCTCCCTGTTCCCCGTGCAAAACATGTAATACAGCGCCCTCCCTACCGCGAGCCCCAGTGTTCTGTTATTTCATCTCTCACCACCGTTAGCTCCACTTCGGCAGCGCCTAGTCCAGTACTGGATAGACAGACGGCACCTAGCTAAATGCTTGCCAAGTGGCAGAAAAATCGAGACTGTAACATCATATAGCACCAATGCAAAGTGGGCTCCTCTGCTGAGGAGGCCTCGGGCAAATTCAAGCCTTCCAGAGAGTTTGGGTCACCTATAGATGAATAAATGAAGAACTGCCTTAGCCTCACAAAGGAATAGAAAAAAAAGGAAGTATTAGTGGGCTATTTTAAAAGGAATTTCTAGAAAGGTTTTATCTCCAAGTATTTAAGGGCTCTGTTTTCATTTAAGATGGCTTTTAAAGCACAAGCTATGTTTGTACTCAGAGTTCGGTTACATTTGGCTGTTTTAATAAAGGCATATTTTAGGATCCAATGAGGAAATGCATGGTTATAAATCAGGGGACAAGGCAGACAGAAGAGACACTATTTGAATCTTAATGGCCTCCTGACTAGATGGTCGCCGTAGCTGAAGCGCTCTGCTCCCATCTGGTGGTACAAGCAGAAAACTGCCCAGCGCCAGGTTTCTAAGAATAGACTACATAAGCAAATGCCCGTATAATCTGTACAGTGAAAGCGAGAAAGTGGCTGCCAATGTCACAGAACTGTCCGTTTCTTACAGGAAGCTCACTTGTTTTTGTCTTTGCCTCACAGTCAAACCTTCCAAGCCCTTTTGTACCATCCAAGGAAGACCAGAAGCAGGCCACCCAATCTCCTTGTCTTGCCTTTCTGCCGTTGGAACACCGTCCCCTGCATATTACTGGTATAAGATTGAGGGAAACACCATTGTGCCAGTAAAAGAAAGCTTCGGTGAGTATCGCCTTTCCTAACTTCCGCTGGATGTGCTCCTCGATGCTTGCCTGAGGTCCTCAAATGTTTCTTCCCTTGATGTCAGTGTGTGCATGTGTGTGTCTGGAGCAGACATGTGCTTACCATGATACCTGCCTGCTAACATGAGGATTGTGGTGTGTCTGTTTCTCGGAGTCTAGAATTCGGCTGAGAGGTGGTGAATGCGGAGGGCCTTTGCTGGGCTGCTTGTAGAGCATTGCGAGAGACCTAGGTGGAGCCTATTCATCTCAAGAGAGGCCGCTGTGAGAAAGTGGGCGGGCATTAAACAGCGTACACTAACATGACAAGAGATCTTAAAAATTCTGTGTTCTTGTTTTGACAGACTCAGCCACTGGAGTTTTGGTTATCGGAAATCTGACAAATTTTAAGCAAGGTTATTATCAGTGCACTGCCATCAACAGTCTCGGCAATAGTTCCTGTGAAATTGACTTAACCTCTTCACGTGAGTTGGCTCTATGGCTTTCATACTTTATCCTTCAGTTAAGTAGTCTGGGCCTGCCCATCGAACAGATTAATTAGGGTCTCTCCTTAGTCCTTCTTGCCTCTCTGGAGATGTCTGTGCTTTATTGGTAAGTTGATAATGGATGGCCATCCAGGTCTCTCATTTCTACATAGTAATATGTTCCCTAAATTCTTCACTGGGTAGTTTATTTAAGCATCATTAAAAAGTAGGTATTACTCTTGGACAAATAAAAAAACAGCAGTGTCATTAGCAGTCTTTTGCAGTGGATAATTCCAGCTAGTCCCTTAGCTATCCTTTTCAAATATATGCCTCACAGACTTCCTACTTCTTGACTGCCTTATTAAGACTGGACTCTAGAATACAGGGAAACCCTCCAAGATAAGGCACAGACAGGAGTTTCTGAGCAGGTTTTTGGTAGATCAGAAAAATAATAGCGAGAACTGATAAATAAGCTTGTTCTTGCGTGAAATTTAAAAGCTTTTGCACAGCAAAGGAAACAAGAGACTGAATCTTCATTCAGTCTAGGCAGCCTAGAGAACGGAAGGAAATCCTCTACCGCCATTTAGCCAACAGAGGGTTGACACTTGGAATAGATGAGGAGCAAAAGAATTAAACACAAGTAGTCCAGTCAATAAATAAGCAGATGTTTTGTAAGACAGGTCTCAGAAGAATTACAGATAGACAACAAATATATGAAAAAAATTCTCAGTGTTTTTCACCATCATGGAAATGCTATCAGAGTTATGGTGAGCTTCTATTTCCCCCCAGTCTTATGACTATCATCAAGAGCTCAAACAACAAACGTGGACAAGGATATGCAGGAAAAGGAACCCTTACATGCTGATGGTGGGAATGTGAATTAAAGCAACCACAATGGAAATCAGTCTGAAGCTTCCTCAAAAAATCTAAAAATAGAATTACCAGCTGTACCACTTCTGGGTCTATAACTAAAAGAATTCAAGTCAGCATGCCACAGAGAAAGCTGGATAAGCTTGTTTATTTCCATGCTACAACACCCATGTTACAGGCTCACAGATTGTCATCACCTGATGGACACCCCAGTTCACTAGCATTATATGGTTTGCAGGAAAATGGAAATGAAAATTACCATAGTGAGTGAAGTAAGCCAGATGCAGAAAGAGAAATATCAGTTTTCTTTCGTAGGCAGGATCTAGATTTTTAAGAAGACATGGAAGTAGAAGGGAGCTGTTAGGGATGACAAAGGGGGACCAGTGGGAGGGGAGTGGAAGTAGAATGAGATACAGTAACAGGGACGTAGACATGATCTAAGTTACATGTATACATCCAGGAAAACATATTTATACCCATAATGCAGTATCTACATTCTAATAAGAAATAAAACCCAAAAGTTTAAAGGCAAAAATCTGCCTATAGTAACCAGACAGCCCTATCTGCAATCACAATACCTGATGAGTACTATTGTTACTATTTGTATTAAATTGTTTCCCATACTATACTTGCTACATGAGCAACACCGCAGTCTTCCAGTTGAAAGGCACTTACTTGCTCTCTGAGATTCATAGTTAAAGAGCCTTGAAACAGATAGACTAGGTCAATCCTGGGACAAGCCCTCACGAGAGATGTCTCCCAAACCTCTTAGGGCTCACTTGAGCACTTAGAGCCTTGCCATCTGCCCCCCACTCTCATTACTTTCAGCTCTCTCCTCTGGCCTTTCTCCTGAGACCTGTCTGTACAGGCATGGTTCTCTGTTGTCTTTCTTTACTCCTCACTCAATTGTTGCCTACCCTTCTAGAGATAGACACACATGGCGGATGTCCAGTCGTGTAAGACTAGTACCCGAATCTTCTTTCCAATGATCTCCAGCACTCTCCTGGCTTTCCTTTTTCCCTCTCCTCTCCCTTCTTGCTTCCTTTCCTTTCTTTGCCCTCCTGTCCTTATCTTCTTCCTACGTCACCTATTGGCTATCTACTATGGATCATCATAGGTGATGCAGAGACCGACGTTAAGAAGAAAGGTCTTTCACTCAAGGAGCTCTCCATTCAGCTAGAGGGCTAAGCAAAGACTGTATGTGCTAAACGCTATCGTATAGGTCCATACAGGGATAGACACCAAAAGAGGACCACTTATGGTTACAGCTCTGGAGCAGCTGCGCTGACCAAGTACTATTTGAGCTGGTATCTGAAGGTACCAGCAAAGGCTATTGTTTCTATAAAATTGGTAGGCTGGGTGGAGAACAAAAGCAGAGCAGCAGCTGTAGAAAGATGATTGGTTAATGGCGAAGGAACACGAGGAAGAGCCACAGAAAAGATCACTGGGAGATGGAACCATAATAAAGAGACAGCCATTGTGTTCGAGTCTATTGAAAGGAAGTGATTATTTCCTCCCGATTTCAAAACTAGTGAGAATGTATTAAAACACTAAGCAAAGCCCCCAAATGAGGCAGTTAGTGACCTTAGGGAAAGCATTTTAAAATGCTGAACAACACAGAATCAGAGGATGGATGTTTCTGAGCTGTGAACAATATTTAATTTTTATAAACATAAAGTTTTATTAAAATAGTATTATAATTGTATTAGGAGATTGTAGTGGGAGATGAGGAGTGCTTTGAAATTCAGGGGGATAATGAACATTGGAAAATGGGAGGCCATCTGAGAGCAAGTGTAATACAAGTCTGTAGGCAAGAGCAGTTTTGGATCGTCCCACCAGTGGCTGGGGTGGGTCAAGAGAACGCTGCTTTGTTAAAAGTTTAGAACTGTTTAATTGTTAATGTTATTTACTTTAACAATTAAGATATTATTTTTGTTTAGTTTAATTTTTTAAATTTTAATTTGTTTTTTAAAATTTTATTTTACATTCCATCCACAGTTCTTCCCCCTACCCCTCTTCCCGCCCCCACCTCCCCCTCCCCAGCTGACCCTCCATCCATTCCTCCCCACAGTTAAGGGCTCCCATGGTGAGTCAACAAAGTCTGGCACATTAAGTTGGGGCAGGACCAAGCCTCTCCCTCCTGCATTAGGGTTGAGCATGGCATCCCACCATAGGGAATGGACTCCAATAAGCTGGCTCATGCACCAGGGATAGATCCTGGACCTACTGCCAGGTGCCCCTCAGATAGTCCAAGCTTCACCACTGCCTCCCACATATGGAAGGCCTAGTTCAGTCTCATGGAGGTTCCACAGCTGTCAGTCTAGAGTTCATGAGTTTCCACGAGCTTGCCTCCGCTGCCTCTGTAGATTTCCCACTCAGGATCTTGACCTCCCTTGCTCTCTTCTCTCTCTTCGACTGGATTCCTGGAGCTTGTCCTGGGGCTTCGTTTTGGCTCTCTGCATCTGGTTCTGTCAGTTGCTGGATGGTGGCTCCATGATGATAGTTTCATACATTTATATAATGACTTTTAGTCATTTTCAGTCCCCCATCCCCCTCACTTGCCTCTCTCACACTAGCTCCCATTTTCTCAACAAGTCCCCTCCGCCTTTCATGTCTTCTTTTTCGTAGCCTACTGAATTTAATTAGAGTTTTTTGCCTAAAGCATTGGTGGGAGAATATTTACTGGAGCGAGGCCAGTTTATCAGTGGATATACCACTGAAGAAAATGGCATTCCCTCCTTCACTCACTCACGATGAAATGTTCAAGGGCTCCATCCTGTGCAGACAGCCACAGCCTTTGTGATTTCGTGAGTGCAGCAGGTGCATCACACCCAGATGTCTTTCTGCTGCCCATCCTCCGGCTTACACTCTTTCCATCCCCTCTTCTGCAGGGCTCCCCCAGTCTTGCTGATATAGCTGAGCTGTCCCATTGAGGGTTTTGTGAGACAAGGTCTTGCCATGTATATGGCCCAGGCTGTCTGGAAACTCAGGATTTTTCTGCCTCGGCCTTTTGTGCCCAGCTACATGGATTTCTTCCATCATAAGAAGATGAGGGGCTTATTATGCAAACTTAGTTTTTCATTTCAAAATATAAACAGTTGATCCTTGTTTAAGGGGAAATAGATGGGTATGGGCTGGCTTATGATCCAGACATGTTCTGTCAGGGACGACATGTCTGGACTTGGAGGCCTGGTGCTCAGCTGGAATGTCTCGCACTCATTCAATTTTTCCATAGACTGATGTAACAAACCAGATGCCTGTTTATCCAAATGGCCATGTCCTTTTGCTCATAGAGTTCATGAGCAGGGAGTGTATGGGGAAGCTTTTTATTTTATTTCACTTAGGCCTTAGGAAAGCTGATGAAATGTCCTTGTCTCCAACAGAGCATGTTTCTGGTTACCAGATTGCCATGACATGTCTCTGACCACATAAAGGCACACTGAAAACTCTATTCCCTAAATATGGATTTAAAAACAAGCTTGCCTGCCAAGTGGCCACAGTTTTCTTCATTGGTGCGCATGTTAAGCTCCACAGTCAAGGACCTCTACTAGCAGAATTCTGGGAATTTCTGTTCCTTCCACCTGTACCTGTCACTTTCTTGCACTGTGAGCCTTCCAGATCATTTTTCATCAGTCTCAAATGCATATATATAAGAGGAAAACGTGTTTGGTTTTACCAACTGCCTGTCTGTGTCCTTCAGATCCAGAAGTCGGGATCATCATTGGGGCCTTGATTGGCGCCCTGATAGGCGCTGCTGTCATCATCTGTGTGGTGTACTTTGCACGGAACAAAGTTAAGTCAAAGCAAAGGAAGAGGAACTTAAACCCGAGCACGGAACTTGAGTAAGCCCTTATGTCAACTAATTTAATCATCACAAAAGTCCTTTTAGGTCAGAGAAAAAACATTTTTAAGATATATTAACATATTTATCTTTACACCAACACAGCTATAAACATAATTGTGGCTATTTTAATGTAACAGAAGACTTCCGAAGGCAAAAGTGCATAGGGTCCAGGAAAATCAGAATTTGGTTGGCCCAACGTCTGTGCTTTTAGCTACACTGCAATTTTTTTCTGCAGTGTAGGACAATGTTTATCCACCTGCTCACCTTTCCCTCTTTTTTTTAATTTTTTTTATATTTTTGAGACTATAATTACAGCATTTTCTCCTTCCCTTCCTTCCCTCCAAATCCTCCCATATACTCCTCCCTGCTCTCTTTCAAATTCATTGCCTTTTTTCATTATCATTGTGTGTATACAAGTATATATATATATGCCTAAAGACAACCTGCTCAGTTTGGATAAAGTTACCTGTATGCATGTTTTCATGACTGGCCATTTGCTATTGGATAAGCAATTGGTGTGTCCTTCCCTGGATTTACTTTCATTGATTTAACTTAATTGATTTAATTAATTTAACCTAATTGATTCCACAATTAGGAACCCTAAGTCTTAAACTAACAAGTTGTAGACACAGATGCAACTGAACCATGGATTTGACCCTCAAACGCCTTATTACCCTCTCAGAGTCTCTCAGTTGTCCACCTTTTAAATGCTAGTGTGTCTTTCTTGGACTTTCATATTGTTGAAATCTAATCTTTCTGAACTCCAAAATGGACATATGTGGTCTGACAGCAAGTCAAAACATCAGGACAAACAGATGGCCTAAACTAGTGGGTAGCGACCCCTTTGAGGTTAGGATTCATGGCAGTAGCAAAATTATAGTTATGAAGTAGCAACGAAAATAATTTTATGGTTGGGGGGCAGGGTGTAACCACAACACAAGGTCACAGGGTCACAGTATTAGGAAGGTTGAAAACCACTGGTCTAGGACCTATTTGTCACTAAGGCTATAGTGTATGACTTCATGTGAAATATTCAAGTTCAAAGTTCCCTAAGGTTTTTCTGGGGATTTTTTTTTTCTTACAGGCCAATGACAAAGGCAAGCCATTCCCAAGACAATGAAGTCATTCCATCTGAAGAGATCCAGCTAGAAGCAACTTATCCATCTTCCATCCATGGCGCCCAATCCACTGAACCTCCTACTGCCATCTCAGGACCAGAATACGAGCCTGACCCCCAGCTTGAAACCACCACACAGCCTGACCCTGAACCAGAGCCTATTCCAGTGCCCGAGATGGAGATTCAGTTGGAACCAGAGCTGGAGCCAGAGACAGAGCCTGAGTCTGAGCCTGAGCCTGAGCCTGAGCCTGAGCCTCAGCCTGGAATTATAGTTGAGCCCCTGCGCGAGGAGGGGAAGGATTCAGTTAAGGCATAGGTGTAGAGACGCTCGGCATTAAGTACGGCAGTTCTCACGAACCCATTCCTGGCCTTTAATGTTTGGTGGACTTAACCAGTCCCCAGTTTGTCCTTCCATCGTGGACAACCCTCATCTAACAACATGCTCATACTCACCATTAATTCAAAATAAATAAACCAAGGCAACTACTAAAGAAATGCAAAGGTTTCTTTGTTTTTAGTATAGATTACTTAAAACTGTACTAATACATAAACATAACAAATGACCAGGCCAAGATGAGTGGCTCATTTCTAATTTAGTTGGCAATGTATTCACAAACATATTTTCTGTATTTGTGGTCACTCTGTTTCATGGGTCACATGTACACATGATAAGGTAGAGTTAATATGATTCAATATTCATTTTAGGATAAGCTTTCTTCCCAAATGATTTTTTATATTTACCACTAAGAAAACAATTTGATACCATTGGCTCACAAATTAGAGAAAAAAAAAAGCATTTCCCCAAAATAAGAGAGTTTGTGTCAAGTAGTACATACAATTTAAAACAAAGTCTTACAATTTATCATATTAAATCTTTAATAAGTCATCTCAGTGTCCAACACTTGAGCATAGCAATTTTTATAACTTTTTTTTCACTGCAAAAAGGTATACAGTCAAACAACTTAAACTCTTTCTTGGTGAACATAAAGTGTTGGTCTTGTAGGCAGTTTAGAACATACCTTTGAAAAAGCTATTATGTTATCATCACTCACTGTCTGCTGCTATCTGTTTGGGCGGTAGGCTAGGATGGTGTTCTCAGTAAGCACGGTCTATTTTAGATTGTCTAAACTGACAGTTGAAATCATCTGTTTTACTGTTTCTATAGTACACGTTAATAGAAACATCACTCTTATGTCAATGATGAACCCCTTCACTTAAAAGCTTTTTCACTGACACCCCTCTCTGAAGAAATTTGCAAGTAGATTTCCCTTTTTTTTACTTGTGTAATCAATCCTATATGAAATATTATTTTAAGGCCATAATAATGCTCAATAAAATCTCATTTAGTGACTACTAAGATTAATCTTTTTAATAACTATTGTCACATAATTTATAAGCTGTATACATTTTGACTGTACACACATAAAACACCATATCTATGTAGAAGTAGAATATTTCCACCAGCCCACAATGTTTTCTTGTGTCCCCTTTTATAATTCCATTGGGCCCTGTTTTCCATCTCTAAAAGTTAGCTTTTCTTTTCCCTGATCTTTATATGAATGGTATATAGTTTGAACTTTCATATCTGACTTTCTTCTCAGCTAAATACTTTCCAGCAGATCTGTGTCACATCTAGGATTTAAAACTCTTCTCTATGTAGATCATGCCCACTTATCAATTGAGGTAGACTCTACAGACATTTTACAGTCAAGAGAACTAATATTTATTAGTTGTGCCAGGTGTGTATTTTCTTTGATGTGTCGTTGATAGATAGTGCCTGATGGGCATAGGAAGAAAACTCCTGAAGGTCCTGAGAATGACCGAAATTTTAGATATTGTAAACTAAATACCAAAATTACAAAAATGGCTAAGTAGTTGAAACTTATTTTTCTTGCCCATTGAAGTCAATCACTACTGGCCCAAATTTCTGGTGGGTTGACTAGGTAGATTGTCACTATTGGTGGTTTTAAATAGTCTCGTACTATTTAAAATAGTTGATTAATGATATTTATTCCCCATTTTTAAGATCACAGATCACGTTGTGAGTCTAGAAAGACTATGGATTTGAAAATGCTTATGCACACGTCACATACAGATTTATGTTTTTAATATAGTATTTTTATTACTTGGGGATTTCATAGAATATTTTGATAATATTAACTCCCTTTTCTTCCCCCAAATGCTTCCTCATCTCCACTCTCCTCCTAACTTATTGTCTCTTTAAAAAATAAGCCATGTCAGGAGAAGAGGGACACAGAGATGATTGACAGGGGGCGGAACATAGAGATGATTGACAGGGGGCGGGATTCGAGGATGGTTGACAGGGGGTGGGACATAGGGATGATTGACAGGGGGCGGGAAACCGAGGATGATTGACAGGGGGCGGGAATAAGAGGATGATTGACGGGGGCGGGACATGAAGATGACTGACAAGGGGGTGGAAAAACGAGGATGATTGGCAGGGGGCGGGACATAGAGATGATTGACAGGAGGCGGGACATGAAGATGATTGACAGGGGGCGGGACATAGGGATGATTGACAGGGGCGGGCCATGAGGATGATTGACAGGGGGTGGGACATAGGGATGATTGACAGGGGGCGGAAATACGAGGGGGCGGGACATGAAGATGATTGACAGGGGGTGGGAATAAGAGGATAATTGACAGGGGGCCGGGCATAGAGATGATTGACAGGGGGCGGAACTATGAGGATGATTGACAGGGGGCGGGACATAGGGATGATTGACAGGGGGCGGGACATAGGGATGATTGACAGGGGGAGGGAATAAGAGGATGATTGACAGGGGACAGGGCATAGAGATGATTGACAGGGGGCGGGAATACAAGGATGATTGACAGGGGTGGGACATAGGGATGATTGACAGGGGGTGGGAATATAAGGATGATTGACAGGGGGCGGGACATAGGGATGATTGACAGGGGCGGGAATTCGAGGATGATTGACAGGGGGCGGGACATAGGGATGATTGGCAGGGGGCGTTACATGAAGATGATTGACAGGGGGCGGGACATAAGATTGATTGACAGGGGCAGGACTATGAGGATGATTGACAGGGGGCGGGACATAGGGATGATTGACAGTGGGTGGGAATATAAGGATGATTGACAGGGGGCGGGACATAGGGATGATTGACAGGGGCGGGAATATAAGGATGATTGACAGGGGGCGGGACATAGGGATGATTGGCAATGGGCAGGACTATAGTGATGATTGACAGGGGGTGGGACATAGAGATGATTGACAGGGGGCGGGAAAAAGAGGATGATTGATAGGGGGCAGGACATAGGGATGATTGACAGGGGCGGGACATAGAGATGATTGATAGGGGGGCAGGAACAGGGAGATGATTGACATAGAGATGATTGACTGGCCCAATGATGTCACCTGTAAATGGCCACAAATGGCTCTGGCGTGGATCTGCCCCTCCCTGTGTGTGAGGCAGATTGAGGTGGGCGAGGCCTGTGTCCCAGGGAATGATGGGAGAACTCAGCACTGGGTTCAGCACTACAGAGCCAGGTGGATCTCTGTGAGTTTGAGCTAGTTCCAGGGAAGCCAGGGCTGTTATATAAATAAACCCTGTCTCAAAAAAAAGAAAGAAAGGATGGGTGGATGGATGTGTGTGTGTGAGAGAGAGAGAGACAGACAGACACACACACACACAGAGAGAGAGAGAGAGAGAGAGAGAGGAGATAACCCACTAAGTCCAATTTGTGTTGCCTGTATACTCCTGGGTGTGGGGCCATCTTTTTGGGGGCCTTCCTATCTTCGTATTGCCTGGAAAGCTGCACATATGTAAAGTGTCAGGCTTATAGACCCTGGCCCAGAGATGGGAAAGGAGGTAGGGCAAGAAACATCCTTTCTCCCTGGCACCGTGGGCTCACCCTGTCCCAGGGGTAGGCAGAATGGGTTATGTGGGAAATATCCCTAAGTCCCAGCTTTCAGGACTTGAGCCTTTTGAGTCTGGTGCAGTGAGTGATCCAGTCTGTGGGACACTTGGTCTGTCTCCTTTTGAAAGCCCTAGAAAGGAGGGAGGTAAGAAGTGGAGGGAGACAGGTCTCTGCTAGAAGAACTTGACTCCTCGGCCATCACTGACAGTGATAATCTCAGCCTTGTGCTCCTGCTGTAGGGCCTGCAGAGCACGAAGTAGGGTCGCCTCATCCAGCCATGGAACTCTTCGTCCTCTTCGTCCTCTTTGTCCTCTTCGTCCCCACTGGTCAGTTCATACAGGATAAACACAGAGTTGTTCTGGCCGCTCCTGGAAACCCATTGATAAATGAATTTCCCCCATTCTTCTGGCCTCCGCCACATGATCGGGAAGCTAGACTTATTCTAGACTTATTCTAGACTTATTCTTATCCAACCCTTTCTTTCTTAGCTCCTCTAATACAATCTGGATTGACTCCACAGGAAGTTTCCGCTGTAGCTTGACGTTGTTGAGGAGCGGGCTCTCCTGGGCTTCCATCACCGTCATGCTGGACTGTTTGTGTCCACGTTTGGCTGTAACATCAAGAAGGGCGGGAAGCGGTACTGCCTCGGCCACTGGAAACTCATCGCCATCATAGTAGCCCAGAAAAACCGTGTGGAGCATGGTCAACCTATCAGAGGCCTTAATACTGACTCCATTGACTGTCAATAGCTATTCATAAGTTCATTTGTGCTACAAACTACACTTAGAGCTTGCAACTATTAGCACCATGACACAACGACTTCTAAAGAAAAATGTAGACTCTCATCTAATGAGACAATCAAAAATTTTAATCTCAAAAAAAATTTAATCTCTTAGCGAATTGAGGAAACAGTTGCTTATTAAGCACAGATTTGTGTACAAGTATATTTCACGTATACAATACAAAATATTTACTGTAAACAAGTATATATACCCACATTTTATTTAGCAAGATTATCGGGATGACAATTTTTGATGACACTAAGAGGTCAGAATTATACCATACATAGAATTTAGGGTGAGTCTTTGAAGGCTCATGATTTTAAGCTGGTCAGGAGCTAAGGAAACTGCAGGGTCTGTTCTCCCCTCATTCTCTTGTTTTCTTTTTTTGAAGTGGGGTCTCACCAAGCTATTGGCTTAAGTGATTCTCCTGCTTCCTCCTCCTGAGGAGCTGCAATTGCTGTGTGTTTCACCACATTGAGTTAGAAGTTTTACCTTGTTTGTTCATGGAAGGGGCCCACTATGTTGTTCTGGCTATCCAGATATCAACCACAAGTATTTCCAGTTTATCATTCTCTCTGTCTGTCTGTCTGTCTGGATATGTGCATATCTTCTTTCCTTCTTCTGAGGCCCAGAGTTCAAACTCAGGTCATCAGCCAATTTTGAGATTTCGGGTATTGGAACAATCCAGAGAAGAATATCTGAAAAAGGGAGAACTCCTCTAGTTGTTTCAAATGAAATCAAAAGGGTTGTCTGGACAGAGTAATTTCATCTCGGCCTCAATTGTGCATCCATCATATGTCCTATATGTGCACTTGTTTGAAAGATAGTGACATAACAAATTTGTCCAGTAAATCTCACCGGGGCAGGAAATGGGGCTTATAAAGCCCTAAAATTATGACCCAGTATGGTTTTTCCACTTTATCATAAATATTCTAATTAATCTTAGACAACATTATTTTGGTGAAATACCCATTAAGTGAGAGTGGTAAATCATTTACTTTGCTGCCCAACAGTTAAAAGTCATCACAGTCATCACAGCTCTGGGCTGATTTGTCATGCCTTTTTGTTACACAAAGGATTTCTAGAAATTCTAGAAAATTGTTTCTATTGTTCATATCAACAAGAGTATGCTGAAGTTGATGGAACAGCTTTTTGGGGTAGCGGACCTGGAAGGACTAGCTTTGACCTTGTCATGAGTACTAGGATTACAAGTGTAGCCACCATGCCCAGCTGTTGGGGGGAGCGGGCTACTTGTTCGTCCCGGCTGCCCGGAACCAAAATAATCATACAGAAGCTATATTAATTTAAAACACTGCTTGGCCCATTAGCTCTAACTTCTTATTGGCTAACTCTTGCATCTTAGTTTAACCCATTTCTATTAATTGCAGTGACTTACCAGCTAAGTTCCATGGCGTCTCTCTGGCTCTGCCCTTCATTCAGTTCTGTCTTCTACCCTATCAACAGGCCAAGGCAGTTTCTTTATTCATTTATGGTAATCACAGCGCACAGAGGGGACTCCCACATCACCCAGCTTGATGTTGGACATTCTAATAGGAATATAATGATAGCTGATATGGGATGTCCTTCTGTTTATGTGCTCTTATTGGTTAATGAATAAAGTTGCTTTT